GGTTGTTTGAGCTCCGTACTAACACTTACCATCATTGATCAACCCGTCTCATCTTTTCACGTCCATTCTATCCTTATAGTTTAATGAATGAGACAGGTGGTGATAAGAATGAGCTACAGCTATCCATGAACCCACAAACGTTGATAACTCGGCTCCATGGGGTATTAAATGGAAGTGGGTATTCTATCCACGGTTGCTTTAATATTGATTGGCAATTTTCTGCTAGATGAGGAACAGTTGCCTCCTGATGAATTTACGAAGAATAGCGGAAAATATGTTACAAGGTGGCATCCGCGGTACCACTGAGTATCAGATAAGAGAATAGGTTCAGTTATCGAATCACGAGGAATCGATTTCATGGATTGAGGAGAATCCGGCTGTAACGTTGTCGTTTCTAAGGGTGAAACTCAAAGCCGAAAAGAATAACAATGTTTCCATTACTAACTTAGATGTAAAACATAATACAATAAAAAATCACTCAAATACCAGTAACGATAATCTTACTGGATATTAAAGAGAAGAAGAGGTAATATAATTACCTGTTTTTTTGAGTCATTTCTTCCTTGATATTTTCAACACTGAGAATGGTAAGAGGCTCTTGGACACGCGATTATATGGATTGATGAAAGCGACGTTCATCTAAATTTTTCAAGAAATTTTGGGCATGTAACGAGAGTTCAACGGTGCCGAATACCAGTGACCAGTTCAAGAGGAAGAAATCTGCATATCATGGATGCTATGATTTATGATGGGTTGTTGAACTATACTCTGAAAAGAGAATTCTGCAGTTCCGTATTTTGTCTGCAATGGTTGGAAACGCTGGTGGATTAATTATTGCAAGAAGAGCACAAATCGTATGTGGTTGTGTGTGACAACGCGCTCTGCCATCCAAAACTGGAAAACATGGTTGTCGGAAGAAGAGTGAGTATTTTCAGACTTGCTCCATATTCATCAGCGTTGAATCTGATAGAAATGATATGGAGAATTACAAAACGTTGCATGAAAAAGGAGCTCCGAAATCAGCAAGCCAAGATCATGGCGGGTGATCTTGAAGGAAGAATGAACCTACAGGATTGGAGAATGACATAATTCGAAAGCATTGCTGGTGAGGCCACGTCTCAAATCACGAAGGATCATTGTCAGCAAGCATCGAGCTATGTTCGTGTACACTATCGGATAGTTATCAAAATGATGGGTTTTTATTCCATTTGATCCTATCGGGGTCTTATGTGGTTTGCCACTCCAAGTTTCGGGGCTTAGATTGCCGGTTTCTATCATTGAGCAGCAGGTCCTCCCCATCTGCTGTTCATCACACTAAGGTGTATAATTTAAAAAAATTATCAGTTCGATGGGAGAGGATGGTTAAACGGGTTCACAGACAAGCTTGTGATCTGCTTAGTTTTCGGCATAGCCACGAGTTCGACGTGAAAATCGTGCTTTTGTAAGACGGAACTGTAGTGGGTCGGCGCTTATGCTATGTGTGCATAGGAGCAGTTACAATTTTTAGTGATAACAGGAAGTCGCCGAAAATGTTGTACGCGTCCGATACCACATTTTCGTGGCGTTTCATGGAACAAAAAGAAAATACGATGCAGTATACCGTACGCTGACGGAAAAGCGACTTGCCTTGGATTACAGGTACACCAGCTTCAGCCATGATCGATTTACTGAGATTTTTTATTCCCATATCTCGAATGGCTGTGACAGGAGGACCAACAAAAATGAGGTTCGCATCCGAACAGGCTTGGGCGAACTCAATACTTTCCGACAAGAAACCGTAACCTGGATGAATGGCATCCACTCGAGCCCGTTTGGCCACATCGATCAGCCTATCGATCCTTAAATAACTTTCTTGGACATTGGAAGGTCCAATATGATAGGCTTCGTTCATCTAAATGGAGCGGAAAAGTGTAGGATGACTACAAAGAAACTGCATGAAATGAATCAGATGAACCCCCGATGTTACCATCTTGTTCAGGTGTGAGATTTTCTTTGTACAGATTCAGACCCTTAGAAATCTGTCCGAATGAGAATGTGTGCACACCACGGTACGAAAAACTTTATAACAAATAAATGCCTCCAAAAGCCTCAGTATGGTCGGGGTGGGTGTCTAGGGTTGCGGTTGGTCACCCTGCCCGTGCACCTCACGAAATGCCCCCATACGACCAAGCGTCTCAAATATCCTCTGCTGAGGAAGCCCTACTCACTGCCTTCTCGCGGCGGAGGTGTTTTCCCAAGAAAGTGAGAGGACGAAAAGCCGATATCCGGGGCTATAGCCGGGTTGGTAGACCACTGGCAGTTCACCTAGGGGAGTTGACCAAAAACCTGATTTCAAACCAACCATGAGGAGACGTACGAACCACACCTACACCTTTTTGGTTGTGGCAGTGGTCACCGACTCGATCGGGCATTGAGGTGTATTGGGCACCTTGGACGTCTGACCCCGTCCGAATGGCGTATGATCCGATGAACTCGACACCGGCTCCCAATGGATTACGGTTTTCGCACACCGCCCCGCTGCCTTGCGGGTCAGGCTTTGGCTAGCCGAAGGCTCAGGTTGTGGATTCCTCAAGAAAATTCATCTGCCTTGGCCTGGGCAACCTGGCAGTACTCAGCCCACAAGCCAATCATGGAACAGTTTCCTTTTTATAAAGATTATTGTACTATGATTTGTTTGGCACACAGTCTATCCTCAAACAAGTGTGAAATATAATAATAATAATAATAATAATAATAATAATAATAATAATAATAACAAATAAATCGGCAGATCAGCGATAGGTTTACTTGGCGAGGGGAATATAAAATTCATCATCACTCAACCCAAAATGTTTGTTTTACCTCAATCGCCAGAATTGAGAGAACGAAACTGAATGGATGACACTGTGTTCCGCATTAACCTCAGTTCAGTTCACTTCAGTTCTTACAACCATTAACCATGCACTTTCGTGCGTCGGTTTTGGTTGCCATTTGGATAAAAGAGAGGATGGAGATTAGAATGCTGAGAGCGAATTCAGGCGGAAGATAGCGAATATATAGAGACTGAAGTTATAAGAATAATGAGTAGATGCATGAGCGCCACTGTTTGCGACACCCAGCCATATCGTTCAGTGTCTCTAACCATTGATGATCCTTAGCTCGGGGTCCCCAGTCAGGAAGCCTAACGGAACCCCTGTGAGTCAGACTCCTGGAGGGGGGTTTCATACCCTCATGTCAGGTCCTTGTTTGATCGCCCTTGATCTTTTCCCAACCTTTAACTGTCTCGGCAAACATCGCTCGCCGTGGCAACCGACCTGCTGACATGCGCAACACATGGCCCAACCAACGTAATCTATGGAGGTCGATCACTTGCTCCAGTGGGCGACCGCGGATACCCAAAACTCTGCGCCTAAACTCAGCATTGTTCGTCCGGTTACCCCACCAGACTCGTGCAACGCGACGTAGACAGCGATGTTCTATGTTTATCCTGTTCCCGTAATGATTAAGTCTCTGCGGCGTAAAGCAGCACTGCCGAACTGCTGCAGCATACACTCGACCCTTCACAGACAGCCGGATGTCGCGACGGCGCCACAAATGTCTCAAGTTGAAGCTCTTATGTAGTTGCTGCTCCGCAAAGGAATGCCGCGGAAGTATGTGAACCAATTGCGGTTGTTGTACCTGCATACTTCTGGTAGCGGAAAGGTCTACAGTGAGGTAAGTAACTCGTTGGAAACCAGGAGCGGTGTCCGTCAAGGGTGCCCTATTTCGCCGTTCCTGTTCAACTTCGCCGTAGACGAAGTACTGTAGAACGCAGTTACTGGTCTTCAAAACGTCGGCATTGAATGGGCAGCTGGAGGAAAGCTGTGCGATTTAGAATACGCTGATGACATCGTATGCCTGTTTGAATCTATGGAGGATGCGCAATGCGCTCTTGACAGACTAGCAAGTTCTGTATCTCCTTTCGGCATGCGTTTTGCACCTTCAAAGTGCAAAGTGATGCTACAAGACTGGGCGTCGTCTACCCCAGCGCTGATGCTTGATGGTCAAGAATTAGCTGTAGTGGAATGTTTCACATACTTAGGTAGCTGCGTTTCAAATGACGGTAG